CCCCGCCCTCCCAGCCTCCTCCCCCGCCTGTCCAGGGGCGGCACTGCGGGCTGGGAAGCCGGGACCAGAGGAGGAAAGGAAGGAAGGAAGGAAGGAAGGAAGGAAGAGAGAAGAGAGAAGAGAATAGAGAGAAGAAAAGGGATCCCGAGGAGCAGAGGAGGAAACGCAGGACAGGCAGGCAGAAGAGAGGACGGCACTCGCGCGGCAGCACCCAAAGGCCAGAGTGGGGACCCGTGCTGCTTCCGCCGCTCCTCGGATGGTGACGGGGCCCCGCCGCGGCCGCAGCCCCCCCCGCGTCCCGGCTCCGCAGGCCCACAGCGCCGGAGCCCCGCAGGAATCATGCCCAGATCCTTCCTGGTCAAGAAGGTCAAACTTGACACGTTCTCCTCGGCAGACCTCGAGAGCTCCTACGGGCGCGCCCGAAGCGACCTCGGCGAGCGACTGCAGGAGAAAGGTGTGAGCTGGGATGAGGCTGGGGGCGGTGAGGGGCCCAGGGCAGGGCCGGAAGGGGTAGAGGGCCAGAGTGTGGGGCTGGAGGGAGCAGGGGCCCCAGGAAATAGACCCGAGGGAACCAGAACCAGCAGGAGGCGGTGGCTGGAGTGGGGCTTGGAGGGGAGGGAGATGGGGGGTAGGGAGAGGGGAAGGCAGAGGTAGGCCAGAACGGAGCCAAGGCTGGGCAGCGAGAGTGTCAATGCAGGAGAGAGTGTGGGGAACAGGGGGCACGAACAGGAGGTACCTGAATGTACACACTGACCCACACCCTGACCGACACAGCATGGACACCTGCTGACATGACAGGACTTAGCGATGCATGCAAACCCACACTCAGAAAGCTGAGCCTGCTTCGGAGCCCTCTCCTCTTCTTTGGCTACACCTCCAGGACCACCTGCTAGGGCCATCAGGGAAGTGCTATGAGCTCCAGGGAGTAGCCGTGTGGTCCAGTGGGGGCGGCCCACCTGTCAGGGCAAAGGTCCCAGCTGAGGCAGCAGCAGTGTCTTCCTCCCTGAATCCAGGGTCAGGGAGAAGGGTGTGGGCAGGTGGGCTGTGGGCCGGGAAGTCCAAAGTGCTGGAGGCAGGGGGAGGCTCTTTGTGTAAGGGCGCCCAAATTCAAGGACAACTGTTAGCATGCAGGCAAGGGGCCTGAGAGTGCCAGCAGCCTGGGGTGGTAAAAAATGTGTGACCTGAAGAGGCATAAGCCTGTGTGCGAGCCTGTGTGTGGCCATGTGACTGCGTGTGGCCATGTGACTGTGTGCGCTTGTGTGTGACCCTGTATGAGTGTGTGCCTGCCTGTGTGCCACTACATGGGACCATGTGACTCTGAGGCCGCTTTGTGCCCATGTGACTGGTGACCCTAGCTGAGAGTGTCTGGGTGGCTCTGGGTGGCTGCATGTCTGACCCTGCACGAGTAGGTGGCACAGGCCTGGGTCAGCATGCAGCCCACCCTGAGGGGACTCCAGGATTGACAGTGTCTGAGAGGCTGAGTGTAACCCTGAAGAAGCCAGAGCCTGTATTGTGTGGGGTGTGCACTTGTGACTTGGAGGTTGTGAGATCCATCTCATGCCTTGAGAACAGCTGCAGTTACCGGCATGAATAATGCTGCCTGCCAGCAGTTTGTCCCTGTGAAGGTGTCCCCTGGTGGACGCCCTGGCACTGTCTCCAATGCAGTGTCTTCCTGGTCGTCTGTCCTGGGGCTGAGGAAGGCCCCCGTAAAGGATTAGGGCCTGGGGGAAGAGGGCAGTGCGGAACAAGGTAGGACCCAAGGCTGCAGGATGACTGAAGGGAGTGGGGGCAGAAGCAGAGTGCATGGAGGGAGATAGGGCTGGAGCTGAAGGTGGTCAAATCTAGTGAGTAGTGGGAGACCTGGGAGATGAAAGGGAGGTGCTAGAGGGTCTGCAGGAGGTAGAGTTCTCCAGGGCTTGTGGGGAGACCTCGAGCACCGGAGAGGGTCGGCATCAAGGCTGGGCGCGGGTTCTCAGCACAGTGGAAAAGCCGCTGGGAGCCATGAGAGCAGGAGCAACGGGGTCCCTGGACAGGCGGTCCTGGCTTTGTGCGCTGCGGGTCTGCAGTGTGTTGCATAATCAGGGAGAACTGCTGAAGTGGGGAGAACCCGAGGGGGAGGGGGATGAGGGGGACGGGGAGGGGGGAGGGGAGGGAGAGGAGGGCGAGGGAAGCGCCGCCCCTCCCCCCTGACCTTGAAGCTCCGCGGAAGGTGCGGGGCGGCGGGGGGGGGGGGGGG